ACCCTGAACATCATTCCAGAGATATATAAATCCCACTTGCCTAGTTTCCAACAGTCCTCACAACCTCTGAGAATGCCTGCCACAGATGCAGACGATACGTCAGGAGATAATGCTTCTGGAACATGACCGTGCAGCCCAGAAAACTCATAATATAAAAAATAAAAATATTTTTTTATTTCTTACCCACCTCTCCCAGCGGCTCAAGGTGTAATTAAAGGAGTGCCAAATCACATTTGTGCTATAGTGTAGATGTCCCCAGAGCTCAACATCATTATTAGTTTTTAATATATATATATATTAATATTATAATACAGCTACAGTACACAAATGTTTTTAATGTTTATGTATGCATATAATTTATTCATGTCTTGTCATTGAATGTTTGCTGTATATATGCTGTGCTCCGCCCTGAGTCCCCTTTGGGTGAGAAGGGTGGAATATATATGTTTTAAATAAATAAATAAATAAATATGCAAACAACCCACCACCCATGTTGCAGTTACCCCTCATCCCGCCCCCAGTGCACCCACCACCTTGTAGAGTTTATGCTCATTTTATTAACCCTTTACAGTTCTAGGTCAATAGATTCCTCTTGTTCTTATTTCTTAATCTCTCCTGTCAAATATGCCATAGCCAGCTTTTAGTTTCGTCCAAAAACTTCATGGCTTGCATGTTTAAATGTAGTAGACATCTTTGCCATCTGTGTGTAATCCCACAGTTTGTCCCTCCAATTTTTAAAGCTTTGTGTTTTTTCACCTCTCCAATCTTTGGCAATCATTATACATGTAGCCGCAAAACTGTACTGGCAAATTTCTTTTTCCGGCTGCTCTAGATTATCTCTGAATAACCCTCATAGGCATATCCCTGGATTTTTGAAAACTTTGTTGTGGATCATTTTATTTGTTTCCTTAATAATTATTTTCCAATAAGCCTGCTCAACATCATTATTTGAATCCTTGAATTGCAGTGCTGGAGGAAACCAACGCCCACCCAGTCCAACCCCATTCTGCCAGGCAGGAAAAGCACATGCAAAACCCTCCTAACAGATAAACATCCAGCCTCTGTTTTAAAAAAGAGAGTGAATGGCTATCATCATCATCATCATCATCATCGTCGTTGTTGTTATTGTTGTTATTTCTGTCCCGCCTTTCTCACTGTAGTAACTCAAGGTGGCTGAAGATAACATGAAGTCCAATAATAAACTTTAAAAACAAGGCAATTATTTAATTATTAAATTTTGTTGTGTCACACAACAAAGTTAAAATACAGTTCAAATCCCCTCCCCTGTAGACTGGAATGCAAAGGTCTGGAATATACAGACCTGTGAAGGAAGCTTGGCGCAGCTTTGAGACCTGGAGACAAAGAGAAGATGGCCCCGTCTACACCGACCATTTAACACGGTTTCAAACCAGTATTGGAGAAAATGGTTTCTCTGTGCAGTTGATTAGACAAGAAATCCTGGAACCAGTTTGAGGCCCAGATGGGAATGACACAAACCACAGAGCACTGATGTACATTAAGGGCATTCTTTTGTGTGCTTTTGTGGGAGTTTGTTGTCTGACAGCCACAGCTTGAAGCTGCCTTTGAACTGCATTAAATTGTCAGTGTAGATGGGGCCTCAAGTCTCCTTCACCAGGTGTAGGGCATGCAGTGCCTAGTAGTAAAGTAGAAGAGTAGGTACTACTCAGAACATGGGGTGGAAATACCTCATCCACATCTTTAACCATTACATTAATAAAGTTAAAGGTTACCCCTTGACATTAAGTCTAGTCGGTCCAAATCTGGGGGGTGATGCTCATTTCTATTTCTAAGCTGAAGAGCTGGCATTGTCCATAGATGCCTCCAAGGTCATGTGGCCAGTATGACCGCATGGAGCGCCGTTTCCTTCCCGCTGGAGAAGTACCTATTGATCTACTCACATTTGCATGTTTTCGAACTACTAGGTTGGCAGAGGCTGGGGCTGACAGCGGGAGCTCACCCCGCTCCCCGGATTCGAACCAGCAACCTTTCGGTCAGCAAGTTCAGCAGCTCAGTGGTTTTAACTCGCTATACCACCTGGGGCTACCTAACTAACCATTACATTATGTGACACAATTTTTGTTCCAGTGTTATAAATGTCATTTCCTAATTGATTCTATCATAAAAAACATGGAAAAAGTTATTAAACTGCAAAAACTTAGTTTTTGTGGGACATCCTACAGCACATTTTGCTCTAGCTTTTCAATGAATATCACATTGAATCTCAACCAATTCAGCCTAGTTTGTGGCAGCCACTAAAACAAAATTTCTGGAGTAGAACAACTACTTTCAAAGTAAGCATTACACAAATAAACAGGAAATAACACTTTCAAACCAGGAACAGATTTTTTCTAATTTTGTTACATAGTGTTGTTGCTGTTGTTGTTGTTGTTGTTATTATTATAATTATTATGATTATTATGATTTATACTCTGGTTTTTTTTCTCCACAAAGAGGGCCCAAAGCTGCTTACATTAAAAGCATTTCAATGTGATTTAAAATCCCAAAATACACAAACATTAAAATAGAACCACCATCACCAAGAAGCAAATCATTGCATCTGCTAAAGTGAGAAAATGCCACTGACATGAATGACATTCTGAGGAAACAATTTAAGCAGGACAGTTCTCCCTCAGTGAAAGTGAGGAGACACTTTTCCATCAAATGTCACAAAACTCCAGCCCCTTTCCCTGGAAATATGGGGCATATATCAACATGGCAAAACGAGAAAGCTTCCCATAAGTGAGGAGGGATCTCATAAATCCTTTAAAACAATAAAAAAAAACATTTGAACTGGAGAGCTTGCCATTCATAGGAGTATGTTTGAAAGTAAATTCTCTGGCACATACATTTCAAATCCCTCAATGACAGTGCTATGCTCTGACGTTTCACACAATTGGGAGATATGAATCAGGAACCAACTTCAGCATTGCCCTGGGCAGCCCAGTTTTTCCTAGGTATTAATAGAAAGTGGGTTGACCACCAAAATAAATTCTTGGGAAGTGTGGAAAAACCATTCACTATCAAACATGCACTTAAGGAAAACACTCAGTATGTGAAATGCCATACTTCAGGCAAAGAAGGACAATTTCCCTCAGTTCGATAGGGAGTTGATGCTATACCAAGAGGTATATGTCCATGCATTTAAACTTGCAATTGGACTCTTCAGTTGAGGGGAAATTATGGGTACTGTTGACTTCCCCAAGTCCATAATACAGCCCTAGAAAAGGAACCTGGCCTTCTGCAACCCCAAATTTGGTGTATTGTTATCCATATGTGATGTTCAGTGTCACACGCCAACCTCAAACACACTGTAGAAATGAACTGGTTTATTAAGAAGGGGAGAACTATCCCCTTGTGAACTTCAAGAGCATAGGCACCATGGTATATCCCATGACCCTGTCACACCCGTGTTCCTCCAATATTGACCTTCTCCCATCCATCCCAGGGCCAAATACATGTTTGAAAGCTTCTGGGGCCCATCTTCTGTATAAGATGATCTGCAAAATGTGGCATACAGCGAGGCATAATCTTGTCTGTTTGAAGTCATTTGACATTGTCTGAGAGGATGAAATGCCTAGACTTTCTATTTTGGAAGAAAGGCAGAATCTAAATCCAATACCTAGGAAGATAAAAACCCTATGACCCTCCTCTAGGCATATGCAAGAGCATCCTTTTATATATGCAATTAGCACATCTTTGTCCTTTCTTCTCTATTCCATACATATTCCGCCATTGGTGGGAAGGGAAGGATACAGTTCCCTTTAAACTACTTTTTATAATGTCTAGCTACTAAATTGTTACTAAATGTTTTTTTTTAATATCATCTTTATTAAAAGTTTCCTTTTGTGACATACAGTGTAATAAATTGAAAAGAAAAGAAAAAAGAAAATAAATAAAAGAAAAAGAAAATAAATAAATAAAAGAAAAAAGGAGAAGGAAAAAAGAAAAAAGAAAAAGACATAGCGAAAAGGAAGTCAACGAAGGAGATGTATACCATCTGTCTCCGCTGCTTTTAAATTTTTGCTATCTCTCTTTTTCTTTTTTCTTTTTTCTTTTTTCTTCTCCTTTTTTCTTGTTTTTGTTCTCTCTACTTCTCTCTTTCTAGTCACTCTTTATTTTTATTTTTATTTTATTTTTCTTTTATTTCTTTTAATTTTGTTCTTTTCTTTTCAATTTATTGCACTGTATGTCACAAAAGGAAACTTTTAATAAAGATGATATTAAAAAATTGTTACTAAACGTTATTGGGAGTTTGCTTCCATTGTATTATTGATCTTTTAATATCTTTTAACTGTATTGGATTTTAATTTGTAAGCAACTTTGAGTCCCAGATTTTGGGGAAGTTCAGAATGTAAATAAAATGATGAGGATATGAACAGGAAGAAAATGTGGTGGAGAAGAGAAGGTCTCCTTCAAGCAAGGAACTCCGGGATGGAGTCAACACGTTTTATCCTGTAAAGGGGAAAGGAATGGAGCAAGGGGGGAAGACATCTTGAAGAGAAGAAGAGTCTCCCCTCACATCATGAAATAACAGAATAGTAGGGTGTTTACATTCCCTATACCAGCAAGATGAGCCCAAATGATGTATGTCTGCTCAGAGACTTCCCCTTTCTTCAATTTGGGGAGGTGCACATTGATTCTGGCTGCTTGGTGACTTGCTCCACTCAAGGTTATGGGCCTCCTCCTGGCTTGGAGCTGCTCCAACAGGGAAGGGCCGGCATGTGTTCTCTCTGATCAGTGAACAAAAGCGAGTGCTTCTTTTCCTGCCAGTTATCTCTGCAGTAACCACATTCCAGTTGCCTCCCCTCTTCAGCATTGTGTGAGTGTTTGATGTTTGGTTCCCTTCTGGAGATCATTGTAGGGCACTTAGAAAACAGGGAAGTGCATCGGTGGCTCATCTGCTGCCCCCTTTTCTCAGAGGATCCTGTGACCCCATTGGCAAAATGGCAGGATATAGTTTCATGCCAGTGTAAAGCCCCCTTCTCCTGCATCCTGTCCTTGCCTCTATCCTTGTGTTGTATGATATCTGGGAAGCGTTTCTCTCCTTCGGCTGGTTTCCGAGGAAGGGTTGGCATTTGATCTGGTTTCCCTTTAAGCATAAAGCGAGGGCATCACTGCATTTAAGCTGAGAGTGGGGAGGGGAAGAGATCACCCTATCGCCATCGTCATCTTGAGTCGCAGCAGCAGTCACATCGCGTGTGGCTGAGTAGGAAGAAGCGATGGGAGGGTTGTGGTGTGTGTGGGGAGGAGGGCTCCCGTCTCAGCGCAAGCCCAGCTGATTTCCCTGTCACTTGTAGAAATGGTCACCAACCGAGCATTCTCCCTGGAAATGGAGCTTCTCCCACCTACCTAGCTGGCTGGCTGGCTCTGCTCTGCGTGCTTCATCAGCTTAAGTAAGGTAGGGCAGACAGGCTGGTGAGTCTTTCGTATTTGCTGCTACTGGCTGGGAAAATGTGCCATTTGCCAATACAGTAGATGTTTTGAAATCAGAGGAATGTGTTTGAAAAGGTATCTTTAAAAGGCAGTACGGAGGGACTTTGACAGATCTGAAGGTAGACTGTGAGGTTGTTGTCTGCATTGCAGATGCTAAGAGATGCAAGAGACTTGCTAGCTTTTAGGGATGTACAATTGAATTGTCTTCTTTAATGTTGCTCTCAGGATCTTATAGCAATGTCTTCTTTTAGGTATTTCATGTTTTGGCTATAACTAAATAGTGAATGTTTTAAGAATATGTGCATGAGAGTGTCAGTTTTAAGACTGTGTATCCTCTCATTTTCGGTAATAGAACACTTAGTGTTGATGACTGTCTTGTTCTCTTCCTGTATTGGTTTTCTGTCTTTGGAACATCACATTACTTGGTATGCTTGAATCATCTACCCACATTATTTTGACTGATTGAGGAAATAAATTGCAGTGTGTTTCCCACTCTTTACATGTTTTGGGGGCTTGGAAATGTAGACATGATTGTTGTGGACTGTTTTCAACTTTAAAAAGGCAGCCATGTCAAAGAGCGGGCTTATCTATACAGTATTAAAATGGTTAAAAATATTTACAGTCAGATTTGTCCGACCTCTGAATAATTTTCACAGCTGCTGTCCGCTTTAACAATTTTTTCTGCAAATTACACGAATATATTAAACACTACTTGTACGTAACTTGGAAACATGAGTTTGTAATACTACTTTAAGGTTTTTATTAAAGTACAGGGCATTATTATTTAACTGACCCAGTAATCTTTTATCATGTAAAACTACACAATGTTGAATTGACACTTTGTAATGGATAGGCAGACAAAGAATTTCCAGATTTCATTCTTGTTAACTGTCCAATTCTGGGCTCTGTTACTTCTGAAGACTGTTGATGGGGCGTGAAGCATTAGAATAACAGAGGGATGAAAACTGATTTCAGGATTTGCATGATCTGTCTTTCTCTTTAGAGTCCATGCTTTAAGACCTCAAACTTTCAGAAAGTTAGAAACTATTAAAGATCTTGTCGGTTAATCCCAACTATAGTAGATCCATTCAATCATCACATAGGTAGTCTAGTCAAGTCTAACATCAGAATTTAGGCCAGCGATTCTTAATAACATGAAAGGTCTGAACCTATAAGACACCACTGATAGGGCCTTTTGTGGTGGTACAGATTTTAGTTTTAAACATCATTCTGTCCATTTTTGGGGGGTAGGCACCACTTGTTTGCTTGTAGTTAGCAATATTTTGGTAAATGGTTAAGAAATAGCATTGAATGTGTGCACATAAATGTCCATCGAACCCCTGTTATTTTGCCCCTTAAGATTTGCATATAGTGTGTTTGGATTTTATTAACAAAACACAGCCTGCCACTCTTATAGTTTGTACAGTGTCTCCTTGGAATAATTCAATAATTGAATGGAGTAATGTGCATAATTCAAAGGAGAGGTAAAGATTTCTGAAGTCACATGGGGCTAAACCTGAATGTGTACTTTCCTTTTGCATACTTTTTCTCTCTCTCCTGCTTTATTGCAGTGTGTAGTTTCAAGCCATCATACTGCAGCATCACCTCTGCTATGGCTCACTCAGATACCCATCTTTTGAGGACTCAGATGCATATGACTGAAATACTTCTCCCCCCCCCCCTTGATATCATTAATCCCCAAACCCCTTCAGCTGCATCACTGTAAACAATAGAGTTGGATGATGCAGCCCACAGACTTGGGCGGGGCAAAGTTTGCCCTTTGTTTGCAGGAGAGAGGGCCCTCACCCCAAACTTGTTGATTCACCTGTATAGATCGGGATACACCAGTGAAACTTTAAACCAGTCCCCCTTCATAAGGGCTTCTTGTCTCTTTAATTGGAAAAAATACTACACGAGTTTATATTGCTAATTGATCACTATATGCGAATGTGGCAGGAATTTGTGGGAAGATTTGATGGTGGTGAACTTTTATCCCATTTGTCTTTTTACTTAAGTGTGGGGCAAGTTTCTAGTATTCATCATGTCAGGAGCGAACCAAGGGTACAGTTGTAATGTATTTAAAAACACAACGTTTTTTAAAAGCGACTAGAAGTTTCTACGTAGTTGTATGGTTGCAGTGGTCAGTTACTAATGCTAAAGATCATATGAATGCTAAAATGTTGCTCAGGTTCACCTGTCCTTGATGGGATGTCTGATTCTGTCTGGCTCTGCCATTGCATTTGGCGTTTGTTAAGTCCTTGTCTGCACTGTACTGGAAGTTAGTGGCAGACTGCCATAGTATGTGACCAGCAGAATGTCTGCCTGCTTTGGAAACACCGCACAGGAGGAATCATCCTGGCAAGAGGGAAGCTGTGCTGGACTTAATGAATCTTGTTTTTTAAATGAAGACTCTCAGTGCACATCTGTATTGTACTCACATGCTTCGGCCACAATGCATTGGTGCAAAATGTGAAAGGTATTTTCAGCTTGGGATAGGTAATAACTTTTAGGACATGATTGGTACCACCATCTACCCTTGCTTCCATCCCATCCAACAATTGCATAGACATTCATTTATTTTGCCCAAATGCGCAGTCAAGTTTGGCAGTTGTGAAGCACTGCAAAAAAGTAACAATTTGTGTGTTATAGTCTGCCTCTCTTATTTCCACGGGCCGTTTTTGAAAACAGAACAGCCCAGTGTGGCCCTTATCCAGGCTTAAGTAGCCAGGAGTCGAGCCAAGACTCTTTCCTTGATTTAAGGGCTTGAGACTGCAGCCCAAGGGGATTGTATATAAAATGCTTGAAAACCAATGGTTTGCTTATACAGCATGGGTAAGTATTGCATCGGATGCCCTATATCTTTGTCTTTCACAAACTGTTTTGAGAAAATGTTTCCCCGCCTCAATAAATACAAACAGTTCTCCTAACACATAAAATTCAGGTGGATAGCATTAGGACTGGCTCTGCTATGAGGCAGTTGCCTCACACAGTAGACTTCCATAGAATCATAGAATCCTAAAGTTGGAAGAGACCTCGTGGCCCATCCAGTCCAACCCCATTCTGCCAAAAAGCAGGAAAATCACATTCAAAGCATCCCTGACAAATGGCCATCCAGCCTCTGTTCAAAAACCTCCAAAGAAGGAGTCTCCACCACACTCCGAGGCACAAAGTTCCACTGCTGAACAGCTCTCACTGTTAGAAAGTTCTTTCTAATGTTTCACACAAAAGGAGCTAATTTTAATTGCACTTTTACTGCTAAGTTTGGAGGGAATGGTTTTGCTGGGATTTTGTGCTCCATGTGCCAAAATAACGCAGTCGGTTTAGGGTACTATGCATCTTAAATTGAGTGAGTGGGAGGAAAATTTTGCTGCTCTTCCTTAAGTGTTTCTTGAGCTGACTCTCAGCAATCAGGTTTAGCTTGTTACCTCCTTTGTTTTTCTTCTGTTTTCAACAATTTCCTTCTGTGAATATTTTGTTTTCAACAATTTCCTTCTGTGAATATTTTACATTTTAAAAAAAGATGCCACACTGGAAAATAGCAAGAAGCAGCACTTTTTTCCCTAAGCTCACAGGAAAGAGACAATAATTTTAGTGCTCAGAAGGTTTGGAGCCAGACTAGATTTTTTTTTTTAAAAACAAACTGAAATTGTAAAGCAGGGCAGGCATATTTATTCAGACTGCAGAGGAACCCCATCTTCTGAAAGTTTGTTTGGGCAGCAATAGTGAATCATGCACCATTCTAGCAAATTTCAGGACAAGAAGTCTCCCATGGAACCCCATCATAGGAAGGAAAAGGTTAAACCCCCCTTCATGGTTGTCTGCATTCTGGAATTTGCTAAACTAAGTCATGGCATCTGCCTTTCTAAAAATCTGCAAAGGTTCATTTAGAAATCACAGACAAACCAAGCTGCATGTAGTCCTTTAACAGAAGGTCTGATTTAATGCATACTTTCTTTTTCTTCTCAGTTAAAATTGCTCACAGTGAAAGCATCTCTCCCATTTACTTAAAAAAAAAACCCTCACTTATGGGACGTTGCTCCAGGGATGATGTTTAAAGTGGGCTATAAATAGATACTTTGAAAAATTAAGCCATGCAGCACTAGTCTCAAGTATCAGCAGAGGGTGGGGCACTTCTGCTGCAGTTCTGAAGCCTGTGGACTAAAGCTCTCTGAGATGAAATGTCCAAAAGTGTTTGTGTATAGACCATAGGCTTCTTTATGATGCAGTGTTGGCTAGAACTCTTTTTCTAGGTGCCGATGGATATATTGCCAAACTTTCTGTGTCAGTACTCGGCTACTCAGAAGAGAATACTTAAGCTGGAAAGTGGACAGAAAATAAAAGGTAGTTTAAAAAAATAAAAATGCCATCATATCTTTCCTGGATTAGGGAGGATGAGAAGACGCATATCCACACCATACAGGATGATGTGACATAATTGTGAGTTGGGCCTCTTTAGCCTACAGGGGAATTGGTTGTATTTTGAAAGATGTTCAACCTTGAGAAGGATTTAACTCCTATTTCAAAGAAAGGCCCATCTTGTACTGTGCCAAGCTTACTTTTCTGATGGGTTAGATAGCATGTTTGCTTGAAATATTATTAACTGCTCTTCACTTAAATAACAGTAAAAACAACTAGCTGTTAAAATTTCACATGCAGGGCATCTTGTTTTTATTTCCCCAATAACTAGTTGTCTCAAGAACCTTTTTTTAAGAAGGTAGGATAGAAATGTAATAAATAACTATGTATTTGTTGTTGTTAGAATCACAGAGCTGGAAGAGACCTCCCACCGAGGCCATTCAGTCCAACCCCATTCCGCCAGGCAGCAACACACAATCAAAGCATCCCAACAGATGGCCATCCAGCCTCTGCTTAAAAACCTCCAGAGACGGAGACTCCCAGGCAGCAGCACATTCCACTGCTGAACCACTCTTGCCATCAAGAAACTCTTCCTAATCATAGATTCATAGAATCAAAGAGTTGGA